ACTTCTTTTTGCTGACTGACTAGTTCTAAAAAGCAAACAAAGATTATCACTGTATCTATGAAGTCAAGGTGGCCGACGAAAGTGATAACGATGATGTACAGTGCAAAAATAATTCACTTCAAAACATGCAAAATAAGCAGTCAGTCCAACGTTTCAGCAGACAGTGCTCCATAAGAGAATGAATCAAGTCTCACATTTGTGTAGTGCACGTTAATCAGTTATCTTCCCGTTTCCGTTTCCCTCTATTAATTATGCATAGACTTAATGTAAATGATTTCCAGGCTTTGCAATGGTCATCGGTAGTGAGTTTCCACTGGTGCTTCCTACTGCGTTTTCGCCAGTCATATTATTCAATAAAGAAGCAAAGTCTTCAGAACTATCACTTCAACAGCTTTCGCTTGAAGCAAAACTTTGTATTTTACAACAGACCAACTTTCCATTAGGCCTGCACTATTTAGTATACCAACTCCACCTATGTTCTCACATTAAATGTGGTGATATATATTCGAAATTCACATCGTGGCAACCATGAAAACCTACTTCTTCAGCACAGTCTCAACAAAATATAACCTCCTAGCCTGACGCTGAAAAACGGATGAAATGATGATAGTGGATGTAAATTAAAAAAAATTAATGTATTTACGAAAATATGATGTGTTAATACCCAAACGTGTGTAGTGACAGAATTACTACTTCATCATTAGCCTTCATAATCGACATTAACTTACAATATATGTTACTACCAGATACCCACGTCTCAAGACCAACTACAGAGCACATGAAAATACCTTTCTCACTGATCTGTAGTAGGGAAGGAAACTGTAGTTGGTCATCGAGCATGGACAAACAGACACAGCGTTTTCTCTATTAAACATGGGATTTCTTTTCCTCTTTTCAATTTCTACTCGCGTCTTACTGCATGTGACTGCTTTTAAGTGATTGGAATGAATCACAGTATTCCGCTTACTTTGATTCACTGTTTCTGTCGTGAATGGAATACGATATAATTTGGTATAGCCTCTGTGAGGTGTACCGTCCGAGTGTAAAATTCACTGGTGATGTATATTGGGTCACCATTTATTCTCTGTAAATAATAAGGTAGATAAAAACATCTTTCACCTCGATTATATCACGCACTAGATGGTAAGTATCCTAGGAAGAAGTTTGTAAGGTCAATGTTAGGTTTGAACTCAGCTAATCGACTTTGATTGATCTGACGTACATCGCACATAGGTTTCTTTTTTTACTGAACAATATGCTTCGTGTGTATACTTGTTCACTAGTATACTTGTATAAAACTAAAGGGAGCCTAAAAACGCATAAGGACGGAAGGTGATGTTTCTGACTAGCAAATATGATGGTGTTTGATGGTCAGAACATTTTATTGGCTTACGGTTGCTTACGATCTATTAGGATGTAACTAAACAATGAGAATGATATTACTTTTCCATGTCTTTAACTCATGTTTGTGAACTTGGACTGATTTCACTTCAATCACAAGCTGAACTGACCAGTTACGTTGAAAGATGACCCATTCTTTAATTCTTAAACACGTGACAGAGAAAGTAACAAATGAAATATCAACAGCGCATCAAATAATTATACCGTCCCTATCACACTCTATAGATCTAGACGATTGTTAACAATACACTTCTTTTGAATCCATTCTATTCATACCAACATCTGCGTATTCGTCGCCTTCCTAGTAACTTGATTTAATTAACCTTAAATAAATGCAGGTGCCTAATATGTGGTCTAATGTTGGGTCGTGACTGAACCCCGATTACGAACATGTTCTGTTTTGCTTCTCGCTATTTTCTCCTTCATCCTCTTTTTTAAAGCAATTGTGATACACTAATGGGAGTTTTATACAATAGCCCTGATATTTTCGGAGACTAAATGATTTTGTCCAGAAGGCCATTTAAACTGTTATCTGGAGAATGTCATTAGGAAGATTAGTATGCACATACCTCATCAATTCTTGTTATACACATTTCTAGACATAACCTGTAGCAATCCTCGACCACTGATCAATCATCGCAACACAACTAACGTAGTTAGCGCCAACTATTGTATCGCACATTCCAACTTCTTAAACATTATTTATAATTTTATAAGGAAAATATCAACCCTATATGTGTGTGTCTTGTAAAATATCATTATAAGGGAACAGTCTATTTTAGTAGACGTGACAGTATTTGTGACAAACTGATTTTGCCTGTAAACTGGCACACTTGATGTAACACACTTTTATTCGCAGACGAACTTTACTATAATAATTATTATCAGTATGTGCTGTAAGTCTCGGTTAACCTCGAACGATCAGCACATTACTGGAACTAGCACTTCCATATATAATAAACTATTTTGGACAGTCTTAAGGAAAACCTCATTCGCTTGCACAAATACAAAACTATACTTAAACCTAACTAATGAACAATTTTCACCCAACACAGCATCGAGCAGTCAACTGATTTTCGACTGAATTTAAGGTGATATGATAGATTGGTGGATTACTTTAAGTTTAAATATGCAGGTTAGATAGTTTTATTTCTACATACCCTGGATTATCCGTCAGTTCGGTCGTCACTCAGCATGTCATAGAGAAAGATAAAGTAATCTTGAGTGTCGTAATTATGTAAAATATTGTCAAGGACAGTAACAAAACCTAATACCCAGGTTATAAACACCTTTAAAAGCAAGCAGCTTTAATAGAAGAATTTTCAAGGTGAAATTCACCAGAAAACTGTCTCTCTAAAATTAATAGTGAGGGAATCCGCCACAGGAAACGCCCGAAAAGGTGCTCGTGTTGACAAAAATTAGGGTCTGAATACAAGTGTAAGCTCGTGCGTAGTTAAAACAACCTAACACGTGAGAGTCATGGGAACTCCGAGGGGTAACTTTAATGCCACGTCGTAAATTTGTCCTTTAATTGAGAGTGATTCAGACAGGGATTGTGCGCTAGACGGAGAAAATTTGGCATGATCAGATAAACTCTGGTTTACTGAATCTTGTTCCGCATTCAAACCAAATAATTGGAGTCTAGCCATTAGACAACATGCATGACGGTTCATACAGAAATTCATGATGTGAGGGTCCTATTATAATAGTTGCTTGGAGACTACCAAAGGGAAACAACCAGAGGTACGTTTAAACTGACCACTTAAACTACTTGATATTACTAGTTGGTTTGTATCTTGTTTGTTTGATATTCAGAAAACACTTCGTTGTAACTTAGCAGGCAAGTAACACGATATAATCAACTACCAAGTTGTAAAACTACTGCAAATCAAGTTTTTGTTTCAGTTATTTTGTGTCATAACATATCAACCAAACAGAATAATTTCTAATTATTGGCCCGATAATATCATTCATGAAAATTTATTCTTGCCTTCAAACCTGTGTCCTTTATACAATTTGTTGTTATGAAAGAAAAACTTATTGTTTAAGGACCATAGACTGACCGAGCGGTGAGAAATCAGAAACTGAAGGTAGCACCGTGGTACGGTGTTCATTGAAGAGCATGTAACCAGGCGAGAAGATAGCTAATATAAAACAAGCACACAGTATTAACTCAGTGATCACTAAAGTACACGAGTCTCGTGTTGCACGTCCAAGGGGTTTACTTACTTCATTATGCCTGTTACCCATAGTGAAACACTTTCTGTACAAAGGACCACATCATTAGAAATGCCATTACTACCTTCTAATTTTCATTAGCTCTGTATGTGAAAATTCAGATTTATGGGAATTTCAGTCCAAGTTTGAGTAGTCGAAAAGTAAATATAGACGAATAAATTCTGCCTAATCGTTTAGAAAGCGTGAAAAACAGTATCAATAAATAAAGTAAGGACAAAGCGGACAGGATACACCTGAACAGTATTTCCCAAACAGATGTAGACATCGTTTATTGCGAAATTACATAAGGCATTATTTCAGGTAGCTAAAATTGCCAGAAATTTGAAATGGCGATCTGTTAAAATAGAAAACTTGCTCATGTCAGTCAGTGAGAGTATATTCTATCCAAAAACGAAAGGGTTTGGTTCAAAAGTTAGTAACCAAATATATAACAGAGATTGAACAAGAGGTACAAGAAGACAAAAATGGCAAAGAATACAATTACTAAATATTAGTGGCCCAGGAATATGCATTTATATAAAGTAAGATTAAAATAGTCAATCAGGACGCTACTGACATTAGAATGTGAATCAAGATTCTGGACCTGTGTACAATATGATTCTATTGGCAAACTAACAGATGGACATAATGTACGTGGAGATAGGTGGTATTAGGTGTTACATTTGAGTAGAAGAGAAGAAATACTGCCAAGTGAAAAAAATGCATAGAAATTTTTCTTATACGTATAAACCAGAGTTACTGAAGTATACCATCATGAACTTTCTGACTTTTACCATAATAGAATGAGTAGACCATCTTGAAAGAAGTACTTGACAAACTACTATAGGAATGACCACTAATCATATTTTCGTTGTATAATTATTTTCTCGAAAAAATGAGCTTTCTCTAATTTATATCCTAATTATTTAAAGTTCTAGCCCACTTAAATTGAGTGGTAATGCTTCTGTAGTTCAGCTAACGTTAAAGCAATGCCACGAAACAAATACCGAGGCCGGATTATTTCATCGTGTATCTTCTTCGGTGTATGTTACTATTTCCAAAAGGTTTTTGAAATACCATCTTGATTCCTGAGGGATAAACTGGATGTTAATTTTTGTTTGTTATGGGGCTGATTTCTCATTTCATTGTTGAGGATCTCAAGTAATCGATGTACAATGAATACCGTAATACCACGAAAACGGTTTAATTCTCCTGAAAATGCTTGTGCACTACAATCTTAGCATTTTAAAAGTAAATAAAGCAGCTTTACGAAGATATAAACAATCTTTTGTTGTTTGTACAACATCTTTGTTTTTCTGCGCAGAAAACTGCTTCCTGAGACGGCCATTGTTTCGTCTGGGTTTTGTTCATTGTTTCGAATTATGACTTACCTGACCCTATTGCAACGCATTGAGTTGGAACGAGGAAAGCGAGAACCCGGCGAAGTAAGTCAATGCACTGTTCTTAATGCGTGTTAGATCACGGAACTTAATTTAGACAACTCAAAGTCTGTCGATGTCGAAGGTCTTACGGATGAATACTCGTCCTTAGAGGTTTTGAGTATGGTGAATGTTGGACTTCAAAATTTGACTGGTTTGCCATCTCTCACCAGTTTGAAAACTGTAAGTTGGACTGAATGAAATAATGCTTTCTTAGCTTGAGCTATCAAATAATTTGATATCTGGTGGTTTGGACGCCCTAGTCAAATGTCCGAACATCGAGCAACTTAACCTAAGTGGCAATAAGATTGAATCAATGGATGTATTGGTTCCACTAGCTAAGTTGTCTGAACTTAAGAGTTCTGGACCTTGGAAATTGTCCTGTTACTTCTACGGAGAATTATCGCAAAAAGGCTTTCGCAATGATCCCCTCTCTAAAGTATTTGGATGGTCTTGATGAGTAAGTCTGTGTTTCTCTTTTCAACTCTTAAATAAGAAACAACGAAGAGGAAGTGTTTGGAAGTGATTTCATAAATGGAGATGAAGAGGGTAAGTCTCATATCTCTGGGTTTCTTTTGTTTACTAGTTTGTATGGCCTATATGTTAAGTTTGATCTACAAGCAAAATACTGTCATGTCCAGGTTACCAGTTGATTTAGACTACTTATTACTGGTTTTTCGCAGACGAGATCTCTCACCTTATATCGTGGTGTTCGGTTTACGATATTATAAATTCTGTCATTCAGGTTGTCGGTCACTAGATTTTTGATGTTTTTGTCTGAGTCATTAAGTCCCTACAGTTAAAAAAACCCTTTGTTTTCAAAGACTACTGTTCATCGTATGTTCGTGTCTTCATCTTCACTCATTTGTACCCGAACTTAATCTTCAAATGTCGTTAGTTTCACTTTTAGGGCTTAATAAAATTGCTTCACCTTGCCATCAAGTTGCTGCTGCACGGATTAGACTGTTGATCAGTGTGCGCGTCGTGGGTACATGTTAAGGATTTTGGTTGGCTGATGTTATAAATATGTCGTAGATTCCCTGCGCTCCCCGCAGTCCTCCAAAGTGCCGACACTTGAAGAAGACATTTCCCGTATTGTGTCAATTCAGCTTTTTGACCTTCAAACTTAAAGGACTGCTTGCATGTCTTCTTCCTTTTTTCCACATCAAATTGATCATCTCCGTTTAGATCATTGGCACCTGGTGGGTTAGTCAAGATTCACCAAATGATCGATATGCAACTATAAGTGTTGGAGTCTTGTGGGTGGTTTTTGGCTCCATGTCGTGGGATTGCAATAATCTTCGATAACGCAAGTCGCACATTTGGTTAGAGGTACTAACAGGAGTTAGGACAAGTGAATAGAGGAATCTTCAATCTTTTCCCGCTTGTTTTTCCGGTAATTATTTGTTCTGTTGATGACGTCCTCACAAATACTTCCGTTATCGTTCGGTGGGTTTATTCATCTTTATTGTTAGTGATAGCTGAGATGAGATTTCTAGATGACAGCACGTCGATGTTTAGTTGATTCTTGTATAAATTTGTTTTCACAGCAAGAAGGCGATTTTAAAGCTTACTTTCTACATTTGATTGCTTCGATGTAGCAGATGGCGTTGATGAAGCTGACGAAGAGGATGATGAAGAGTCTGAAGAAGACGACGAGTGTGATGACGAGATTGGCATTGAGGCTCTTCAGCAAAGTGGCGAACTTGAAGACGATGAAGATGACTATGCTCCAGGCAGGTCTTGTTTTTAAGCCTATCTGTAACCTCTTATCTCGTGGTATTAACATTACCATTCCTTGTTCTATCTTATAGGTGAAGGTGAAGAGGCAGAATTGGATGACTACGAGGATGTGGATGACGAGGATGAGGACGAAGTGGAGGAGGACAGTGGAGCTAACCTTTCGGCTGCAAATGTGAGCGGTCCTCGACGTCCTGGCACCAAGCGGCGTCATGAGGACACTCAGGACGCGAAAAATGGTGATAATGGCGAGCATTGTGGAACTAAGCATAAACACACTGAGGATCATGTAGAAGCGCACGTTGAAAATGGATCAACTGCTAATGAATGAGCAGTTTATATGAACTTTACTGTTCTTATTTAGGCCAAATTCCTATTGTATATGTTATGTTCACGTTCATCTTTAATGTTTTACTACAAATTCACCCGAAATGAACCATGTATTTGTACAGTACATTTGCTGACATCTTTTGTCGAAAACATATAATTCAGTGTTTGCTATTGCATTTACTCATTTGTAATACTTTCTTACATTGTCAAATTTTTTGAAGCATCTTTTTAATTAAAACTTATTCATCCGTATCTGCTAAATTCTTAAGTCTTTATATGAATATTACCTGAGTTGTGCTCTCCTAGCCATCGGTTTATTGTCTAATGATTTAGGCTGTTAAGTTTTGTTATCTGGGTATGATTTTCTATGCTCGGCTAGGTACGACCTTAGTGCTTTACGATGTTGAGGAGGACCTGGTGCTATCGTGCCTTGAGTTGTTTCTAGCCAGCATGTATTTAACATCGTTTCGAAAATCGGGAGTTGACCGGTTGGATCGTAGAATGGCCAGGGTTCGTTTGGAGATACGAGGCTTGGAATGATACGTCGTACCGTGTGCAACAATTTTTCTAAAGTGCACTTTTGGGCTGCTATGTGCTGCGACATCAGCAACCAGTAATGAGACGAATACTCAAGCTGAATGCAGATATGACTTCAAAAGAATACTACCTATCATCTTAAACTTGTTGGGTTCGTGAGATTCCGGTTAATCTTATAGGATCGTTCGAGGTTCGGTGGCGCACATCTGGTATTTGGAGTGTCTTGGTACTGTTGGCGTTCGTGTACGCTGGCTCGACATGATGTCACTCAGTTTCTAAATTCCAAATTGTAGTTGGTGCTATCAAATCTCAGAGTGAGCATGGATATATTATTATAGGCGTTTCCAGATGAGTCATATTAAGATACAATCTTAATATAATTAGGAATCAATGTAAAACAAGTCTCATCATACCATGTTTCACAGTTCAGGTTCATTGCTGAGGGTTACTGAGATCAAATAAACACTGCAAGAGATTAGTCATCGCTCTCTATCTCCACAGTCAAGTATTTGGGTTGTTCAGTGTAAATCAACATTAAACTATTTACAAATGAGAAGGAAGGATATCGTACACTGAAGTAAGTCAGAGCAACGCAGATATTAGCAAACAATATTGTTTTGATTTAGAACGTCATCAGACCTTACTCTAATATACATGAATATCTATACGAGAATGTTAAGCCAGTCAAAGCAATTTGAGTCCATAATCACAATGGGAAAGATTGCGTAACTACACATTATGGATAAAAGTATAAGTTGGTAGTTGGAAGACAGGTGTACTATTAGTAGTGGTAAGAATAATAAAATACAATAACAAAAGTTTGAGTCAATAGTTCGACAGTGGAAGTAGTAATTGGTCAAACTTGGATACAAAAAAACCTAAAATAATAATCACAAAACATTATCAGAATTACGTAATAAAGAGTGTGTAAATAATTAGATAGTGAATAATATAAATAGAAATTTACAAACAAAGACAGGATATGAAAATAACGCTAATGATAACAGAAAAGTATTTGAAATTGTTCAAGTTATATTCGACCCAGGAAGGGACAGGGATGTCACGAATTTCTTCTGAACATAAGGACCAGGGTTAAATGTTCGGAATCCTATCGCTTATGCTATATGTAGAAGACGGGATTGAACTGCATTGATGATGGGGTTAAAAGGTAGATCGCTCGACATGATTCGGATTTATTTATATTATGACCATGATATACCTGTGTATTGATTTTATCTAGCCCTTTTTAAACCATACTGGAAGATGCTTACTCATTCATTGATTAAGCTGCCTGGTAGTGTTCCCAACACGGCTATCTCCACAGGAGCAGCTGAATTTTCAAATGCACATTGAGGAGGCTAATTCATGTATCTTATTCTCCGTTTCATCAGATATCGCTAGTCAACTCGAGAAAGTCAATCCAAGATAGGCAGGCGTAGAATGTCCTACTAACTACTTTCGCCAATCTACCATGCAGCGCATTGCGAGCTACATCTCCGTTGAATTTTAGTTTCATGAATAGAGCTTTCTTCTAAATAGCGCAATTCTCCAAATTTTTACAGGGTACATATACTTCTTTAAGAACACGCAGTGGTAGCCGATCTCGTTGTTGATAAATTCCAGCTCCTGACTTAAAGTATCTACTGAACAGATCATTTTTGCCCTGCTTGTGAGATATCTAATCAAATTTCTTTTGTAACGGACAAGTGTAAAACTATAAAAGAGAGTATTTCGCAAAACAGAAGGACTGCTTCTGTACATGCTTCTACTTAACGAGCTTTTTGTCATACTCGTCTTCACCCGTGAAATTGATTTCCTAGTGTATATTGTTGAATTGTCCTTTGAGTTTTTTTTTTCACTCGTATTCTGATCAACGATAATGAATATTTCGTCGATATAGTGATAATAAAAATTAAGCTTATTTATAGCTTCATTAACTGGTATATTTTCTAATTTTGTTAGCAAGAAATCAACTAAAACTTGGCCTAGAGATGAGCCAATGGCTATTCCATCTATTTGTCTAAAATAGGTGTAGTTGCAGACGTTCAGCTTACACTTCAAGAGCAGTTATTTCAGACTATCCTCTGGGAAGACAATATTGATTTGCACATTTGAAATCATCAATCAATCATTGTTAGACCACCATTAGAAACCTGGAAGCACTGGACGGCCGTTTCGTCCTTGTATGGGACTCATCAGCAGTGCGCATCCACGACTCCTGCACCTCTCAGAATTCGAACCCAGAACCTTCGGTATCGAGCGCGAATGCCTAACCTTTGGACCACTGGGCCGGCATCCAACGGTGTTAATGTCTAACTCTAACTGATCTAGGGTTTTGCGCGACCTCATCCATTTGTCTTTGTTAGTTACTGCCTACATCCAACGGGGTTGAACTCCACTGGTCACGTCTTCTCACTAGAACTCCGAGAATTTCCTCACGAAGCTAGTCACTATTGAGTTCATTTTATGATATTTTCAATTAGAGTTATGGAGATCATTGTTTTTACACATTTGAAATCATCAATCAATCTTTCGTTTGGTTTTCTAATATTTTCTTGCATATTAACTCAATCGTCTCGATTAGTGGTTGAACTAAATATACTCACATATATATTAGAGTAAAGCCTGATAACGATCTAATTGAAAACAATATTATTCTCGTATATATGTTGTTCTAATTTTCACATTGGGAAATTTTTTAAAAATTCCTGATATTAAGTATTTCTAATCAAATGTATGAATACAGAAGCAGGGGTATATGTTCAATTTTCTAAGCATATTCCAAAGAATTCGAGATTGACAGATGTTAAGATTTTAGATACCATAACAGTACAGTATTTCGTTTTTACTAGGCATATCATTGATATTTTCAGTTTGACAAAAAACACATAGCAGTTAACCAACCAATCAACTCAAATTGGATCTATATATCCAAAAGCAGACCATAAGTGATATTGATAAATTCATACTTTTGACCATTAATTATTTACAATCATCATGAATCATTACCATAATAAGTGTTTATTTTGTTATATAGCACTCTCAATATACTCATTCTTAATTTCATATGAGACTCAAATCATCTTTCCATTTATTTGGTTTCTTTTTTATTCATTTACTCAACTCATACAAACTTACTGTTACAATTTTATTGCTAATTTTAAGTAACTACCACTTTTTATTAATTTAAATTTTATAATATTCAAGTGATTTAATACTTATAATGTAAACTAATCTTCATAATTCTCACACACAATATATATCAGATCAGTTTAAAACAATGACCTCATATCTATCTGTTCATACACATATCTATCTATCTATCTATCTATCTATGTGTTTATAATTGTTATTCTAATTGTTTATGTACATCAAACTTAAATATATTATGTAATATCGTGCGTGATATTGTAAGCCAATCAAAAGTGACCAAACAACAAGGTCACTTCATGATAATTTAAAATGTCCTAAAGGACTAATGTATATAAATCATTGGTTAGGAAATGGATTCCTTTTCTAAGAGGTAGGAGTGTATGATATTTATATCAACGATTTAGCCTGACAGACTTTCTTTTCCACTCTTATCTCTGTCTCTTAAGTGGTCAGTTTTATTTGTGGAGAGAGAGAGATTAGTGCTCATCATGTTCAGATCTATGACAACGCATATCATAACATATTGATGAATAAGTTTTACGAAGATTGTTTCAATTTGTAGGTTATATAAATGATAGAAATGATAAGAAAAACTCTTGATCAATATCATATAGTGTGGTCAGTGATGACTTACTTAGGAGAGTTCCTGAAGTTCTACTGGAGGATTGTTACTGGTGGTGATTTAACATAATGCAGGTGAAATAATTGTGACCAATTGAGTTGAATGATTGTTGTATAATATATATATCGACAGTTAGTTTAATTTATAAATGTATTATAGTATTAGATGCCAACCCTTGCATTCTAATTAATAAGCGCTCATTTAGAGACATAGGTTCAAATATTTTATGTCAGTGAGTACTACAAAGATATAAGATACTTCAATTCAACAGTTGTTCAATTCTTTCTAGATTGTCAGTCATACTTCAACTTGAGTTGGTTTTTTGACAAATATTGTAGTGAATGAGAACACAGGTGGGACAACCGAATTGTATCTAACGGAAATTACAGAGTTACTTAGTAAAATCGGAAAACCATATCGAAAATCGTTCATTTGCAAAATATCAGTTCCTGTTCCTGTTGCAAAACATCAATCCATTGTCACTGTTCATGCGTTTCATACAAATTCCATTGTTTTCTAACTCTTCCTTTCTTGATCTTCCCCTGTCTTCTGCTGCCAGACATTACGTTTACACTCACGTCATATACTACTTATAAGTAGCTCGCACCACAATATCACCTACATTTAATATGTATTACTGTTTTCTTTCTTATACATTCATCAATAGAAATGAATACCAGTTCTATTTC